GCAGGGTTGTCTCATCTACATAATGCAGATTGTTAATGAATCTTCCTCCAATCCTGATGCCACATTTCTCCTCATACAGCCCAGCCTCCCTGATAATCTTTTCTGCATATAGGTTGAAAAGGTATGGAGCTAGGACACATCCCTGGCATACACCCTTCCCAATTTTGAACCATGCAGTATTTCGTTGCTCTGTTCTGATGACTGCCTCTTGGTCCAAGTATAGGTTTCATATTAGCACTATCAGGTGTTCTGGGATTCCCATTCTTAGTAGGAAAGCTTTTAAATAGAGCTTCAGGTATCTGTCTTTATGACCTTTGGTTAGATTAGTTCTTGAATTCTTTAATGATTGATGTCTGGCTTTTAGCTGAGGTTTAAAAGTACATGTAGGAAGTGCTATATGCTAGCTGGATGAGTAAATATTTGATTAACATCCATTCATGATCTTAAGTAAGCCATGACTAATAAAAGGGTTGGGATTAAATAAAACATGATAAAACAATGGAATTCAATGCATTCTGCTTCATGGAAATTCCACGATATTCACTTCTGAGTAATTCTTTTATTTCTTCTAAAATGAAGATGAATTCTACTCTGAAGAAATAAAGAACTGTTTTTAAATAAACCAGCATTGTTTAAATAAAAGGCATTGGTGCCTTTTCCCTTGCTTAATAGTATATCCATAGTATGACACTAAATGATCAATTCTCTAATAAATTTCCAAAACTCATTGTCATGTGTCAGAACCAAGTCAAAGCTGACCCTCTGCTGGGTTTACAGAGACTGTTAATCACAAGAAAGACTGATTGCCTATCTTTTCCCCATGGAGTGACGGGTGTACTCACATTACTTTCCTTTGCATTGGAAGCACAATATCTTACTTCTAGGTCTCTAGAACTCACTCACTGTAATAGGTTTATTGTTTGTTATTGTGTGTCATCTCATTGGAATCAACTCTTGGTTGACTCTCCAGCATATTTTCAGAGACAGTAAATCACATGTGAGGAGATTGTCCATCCTTCTCCTGTGGTGCACGTTGAACCCCATACCAAAGAGATTAAAGTGCATCATCTTAGCTCTAGGCCACCAGAGCTCCTCTATAATAAATTTGACTAGTTAGAAAGTAGAAATAAAAGGATATTTTTAGTAAGATAATCCTTTAGAAGTAGGACCTGGTTAAAGCTAAACCTGTGCTTTAGTTTGCCTCTGGAATTATCACTCTGATCTAAAACAAATATGGGTGAAGCAACTTTATAATTTATTGTAGCAGAAGGAGTTCTGGTAACCTCATGGTATGGACTTGCACTGCCAGCTGAAGAGCATGTTGTTTGAATCCAGCAATTACTCTTGAGGAGAGAAATGGGCAGTCTCCTTCCATGAAGTTTACACTGGAGGGTCAGCTACGAGTTGGTACCAATTCATGGGCACATAATAATTTTAGCAGACTAATAAATGCTTTCAGGGGATTTTTTAAATCCATGTATAATGTCCTTTATTTTAGCTATAAAGTAAGTTAAGAAACTATCATATTCTTTAGAGATGTTAATCACTGCATTCTTTAAATAGCAAATGTTGAACATAACTATTGTCTAAAAAAGATGGTTGTGTGTAAATAAATTAGATAATATCTGAAAAGTAGAATATTAGGTAGTCATAGAAAGTGTTGACAAAGAAGTGTTAATGATATAGAGATGATACTTTACTATATTTTATGCTTATATTATGCTCTATGCTGTTAAATTGACTCAAAATGATTCTAGGTTTTATTATTATCATGAACACAACTATCTAAAATATTCCCAAAAGAAAAATATATCAATATATTAATATTAGTTCATATGTTTATCAGGATTACAGAGGGCTGTCTTCTACATTCTTCTGTATTTTTCTATGTCTGAACCTGTGTTTTAGCAGAATGTAAATATTTTAATGGCATATAAAAATATGACTCCATTATTATTTGCTGAGTGGACAGACAACCAAAATGTTTCCATTTTAATGAGAAAGCTTGAGAAAGTTAGGATGAAACTATACATATCAATTATCTATGTATTTATTGAGGATCTCTTAGGTGCAGGCTCTGAACTAGTGACACAATATATGCAAAATATCTGTGGCTAAAATGAGCTGGGCATGATTAAACAATTCAGAGAAAACAACTGGCCAGAGTGAAGAGAGGTCCTTAAAATAAGTTGGGAAGATAGACCAGGTCCAGATTATTTTAGCATTCTAAGGAGTTAATATCGCATAAAAGCAAGATTCTGCTGAAAATTATCCAAAAATTATGGGAATAACACATCAGCCAAGAATGCGAGATCTGCAGTCTGGGTTTAGACAAGGCCATGGCACTAGGGATATTATAGCCAATGTTTCATGGATCTCAGCTGAAAGAAGAGAATACCAGAGCTATATCTATCTGTGTTTCATTGAGTATGCAAAGGCATTTGAATTTTTTTTTATCACAGCAAAATGTAGTTAACTCTGAGAACAATGGAAATCTCAGAGCACTTGATTGTGCTTATGCAAAACTTATACTTGGATCGTGAGGCAATCATTAGAACACAAAGTCAGGAAAGATTTACGCCTGGGCTGTGTCCTGTATCCATACCTTTTCAATCTATATGCAGAACAGATCATCCAGGAGGCTCTCTGAGGAGAAAATGGCATTAGGATTGCAGGAAGAGTCATCAACAGTCTGTGTTATGCAGTTGACACAACCTTGCTTGCTGAAACTGAGGAGGACCTGAGTTATTTGCTATAGAACGTCAAGGCCTACGCCCTTAAATATGGATCTGTGTCAAGAAAACACTAGGCCAATAGGCAGCATCATGAGAGACAGTGAAGAGATTGAGATTGTTAACTGTTTCAGCTTGCTTGGCTCCACCGTCAAAACTCTTGGGACCAGAAGCCAGGAAATCAGAAGAGGAATTGCATTAGGAAAGTCTACTGTCAGAGACCTCTCCAGAGAACTAAAGAGTAATGATGTCAGTATGGAGACTAAGATGTGCCTGGTACAGGCCATAGTCTTTGCAATTACTTGCTATGAATCATGCATCAGAAATCTGGAAAATGACTAAGAAGAAAAATTGATGCCTTTGAGCTGTGGTGCTGGAGAAGAGTATTGAATATACCGTGTACTGTTAGAGAACAAACAGGTTCATCCTGGAGAGGGTGAAACCAGGCTGCTCCTCGGAGGCAAGTATTCTGAGGCTCCATCTGACATACTTTGGGCATTTTGTAAGGAGGGACCAGTCCTTGGAGAAGGACATCATGCTTGGAAAGCTGGAGGGACAAGGCAAGAGAGTAAGACCCCGGATGAGATGGATTGATTCAAAGACTGGGAAAATGCACGTAGGTATGTCAGAGACAGTAAGGTTGGCTCAGGATAGAGCAGGGTTCAGAACTATTGTACATAGGTTCGCTATGAGTTGCAAGCCACTCAACAGCACATAGCAATAAACAACAACAAGGAGATTATTTTGTTCTTTATGAAATATGTTGGATTTTTCCATTTAAGCTCAGAAAGTTTTCAGACCACAAATAATCCCAATTGCTCACATCCCCCACCATCTTTGCTAATTAAAAATTCTCAACAGAGAACTTGTCTTTATGTTCAGCATTTTGCTTTGAAGACACATAACTGAAAAGTGATAGTCATATAAAAATAAACCAAACCACACAGAAGGGCAGAAATCATGTCTAGTTTTTTTCACTCTTGCATCTCTAGTTTGTTTTGCAGTGCCTGGCATGTAGTAGAGGTTCATTAAATGTTTAATCATGAAATACTTTTGTCAGCACTTTGTGTAGCCTTGAAAAATGACAGCTAATAATTTTTCTGAGAAACCTTTAAAGAGTAAAAGCATTATTGGATATCTAAATGTAGAAAAGGGATGCTGAAAAGCACCATACTGGCTAAGTTCTTTACAGCTGTTAGGTAAAGACCTTCTGGTGTCACAAAGACCACACTGACAGCTTTCCTTGGAGAAACTGGGACTTCCTTATGCCGTCTTCTTGAATTTTCTGCTTTCCTTTCCTTCCTTATTGTTCTAAGGTGCTCTTCTCTTACCTTTTCCAATCCTTCTGTTGAGAACTAGTTAATGCCACAGGTGAGATATTACTTGATTCCATGTCAAAAGGTGCAGAATATTAAGATCATGAAAATAAGTTTAGATAGAATAAAATTCTTCTGTGGCCTTCTAGAAAAATGAGAAACCTTTAGTCTTAGGCTGCTCAAGTCAATGTTGATAACTGCAAAAATGAGCATACTGGTCATAACGTAATACTCTTATTTGTTGTATATGAAGATATGCTTAGCACTTTTCAGAGAGAAAACAGATTCAGATTAGGCAAAAAATGGTAGAAAATTGTTGAGTGCTTTCTTAATTATTTACTTGTAAATCCTAATTTACTTTAAAATTTTAACTTTGTTTATATTCAACTTTTAAATATTATCTTAATATCTAGTAAATATTTTTAAAATATACTGTTAAATATACTATTAGTGTTTAATTCAATGCAATTCAAATAATATTTATTGATCACCTATGTAACCAGTACTGTTTCGATTAGTACAGAAGCAGTTTCTTCTCTCCTGGGTATTAAGTCATTGGTATTTCAATAATTTAATATGGTTGTTAAGTGGCCAACATTAGTGTAAACATATAAAGACATGCATTTACTCCTGAGTTGCTTTTCAATGATATGCATTTATGCTTAAGATTTAAGATGTAAGCAGATGGGTTTTATCTGCCTTTACAAATCCCATTGCCCTCCTTCCCCCAAAAAAGTAAACTTCAATTGAATATTTAGAATCTGCATTTACATTGTTTTATATTTTACTAGAATTTTTCCAATTTTCCAAGTCTCAGAATAGTTATTATGTCATATTGCCACCTCCTCAGAGTTTCTGAATATATCTGGGATGAAGCCTAAGATTTTGCATTTTAACAAGTTGCAAGGTGTTAATGATGATACTGGTTTCCGATCACATTGTCTTACTGCTTTTTAAATGCCTGAAGATAAGAATTATTTTTGAAATCTTCCACTGAATCTTTTATCTGACTCTACAAATGGATGTATTCACAAACCAGTACCTACTAGTTTAATCTTTCTTTACAAAATCATAAGAACAAAGATCCATTGACTTTATCCCCTTATCCTTAACTTGAAATATCTTGTTAACTTTTTTCACTCATTTGAAGAGAAAAGGGAACTTATTTTTTTTCCTTTTTGTTTACAAATCCCATATTTACTATATGGGGAAGAAATGGCTTTTTAAAAGTCTTACCTTGAACTCTACCACACCCAGTATATCTGGAGATCAGTTTTGATCCCATTTTTCAAACAGATTTAGGGACCATGCCTTGACCAAGGAGTACTGATGCCTTGTAATCAAGCTCAAGCATACAAGAAATATGACTGTTGAATCATTCAACTCATGGAAACACCATATGGGTTCTTATTCTGTAATCTTTTTGGAGTCAGATAACTAGGACTGTTTCTCACGACTACCAATTTTTCAGTTAGCAACCAAGCCTTTATTAGGGCTTCTTATACAAAGCATAAAATATGTCAAAAATAGGTATCAGTGTTATTAGTCCCTGGAAAAGGTGAGATACTCTTTTAGTCTCATTTTTATCTATGTTAGTTGCCTTTCTGAAAATTTTTTGTTTTACTATCTTTCTGTTTCTGATTCCTGTTCTTATTCTTATATTTACTATAGTCTTCCCTCCCTACCCCCTGCTTTATTCAGTGACCATAAAGACAAGCTCTACATCAGAGGCGTCATTAAAACTTTAGATGCTAATAATAATATGCCATGTTTATATGTGCTCTCACTAGACTTTGAAATGCTTTTTCTTGTTGTTGTGTACTGTCAAGTCGGAACTGACCCATAGCTGACCCTCCAGAGGGTTTTTAGAAGCATTTAATTACACAGGTGGACATTGCCCATCCTTCTCCTTTAGAGCAGCAGCTGGTGGGCTCGCTTGCCTTTGGTATTGCAGCATAGCTTCTTGCCACTAGACCACCAGAGCGCCCTGTATCAGTCTTTAAATCACACTTAGTATACTAGGTATATGAAAACTAGGTATATAAAAAAGGATAGACTTTTATATTTTTGAATAATAGTTAATTTTTAAAATGCCTTTTTTTTTTAAAGGAGGAGGAGACAGACAATGAAGAAAATTTTATTGATCTTAATGTTTTAAAAGCCCAGACATACCGCTCGGTAAGTTACATTCAATATATATTGTATGTAAAACCAACAAACCATTAGTTACCCATATTCTGCTTTAAATTAAAAGAAATAAAAAATTGCAGAACATTTTTTGTGTGTATATCTTTTGAAAAATAGCTGACAAAATTATTTTTCTGTATATAAAATGTACAAATTAAATATAAAGGTCTGTAGGAATGAGTGAGGCAGCTTCCTGCCCATATCATGACAAATCAACATAGTGGTATTGTTTTGTTGTTGTAGAAATCGTTTTCTATCATAATAGACCAATATTTGAAAGTTTTGATTGTTGGAAAATAACTTAAATAATTTCTGATTTTTTGAAAGAAAATAGATTATATTAAGAACAGTACATGAATGGGTAATCATGCATTGCTTTAGATCAGTTAGTGCTTGACTTTAATTATGATAAAAATAATTCCAATTTATGAAGGAGTAAATATTCAATGAAATATTTAAAAAGTGATATTGTTAGATGCCATCAAGTTGATTCTGACTAATAGTGACTCATGTATCTTCTTTTTCACTGACCCTCCATTTTATTAAGCATGTTATTCTCCTGTAGGGACTACTCTTTTCTAATAATATGTCCAAAGTATGTGAGATAATGTGCCTCTCCAAGGAACAGCATGCCCTAGTAACATGTCCGAAGTATGTGAGGCGAAGCCTCATCATTCTTGCCTCAAAGAGCACTCTGACCGCACCCTCTCCAAGACATATCTGTTTGTTGTTCTCTTGGCCATCCATGGGATGTTCAGTGGTCTTCAGCACCACAGCTCAAAGGTATTAATTCTTTTTCTGTTATCCTTATTCATTGTCCAACTCTCGGGTGCATAGCTAGTAATCACAAAGACTATGGCCTGAAGCAGATGCACCTTAGTCCGCAAACTGACATCATTACTCCTCAATAATTTGTAAAGGTCCCTAACTGCAGATTATCTCAGTGTGATGTGTCTCCTTATTTTCTGACTGCTTGTACCAAGGATGTTAATCGTGGATCCATGCAAGATGAAGCTTTTGACAGTTTTAATATCCTTTCCACCCATCATGTCACTGTGTATTGGTCCAGTGGTAAGAATCTTTGTTTTCTTGGTATTGAGACACAATGCATACTGAAGACTACATTCCTTGATCTTCTGCAACAAGTGCCCCAAATCTTCCTCTTTTTCAGGAAGTGAGTAAGTAGGATTGTGCCATCTGCATATTGCAGGTTATTGATGAGTCTCCAATCCTGATGCCATATTCCTCTTTATAGAGTCTAGTTTCTCAAGTAATTTGCTTAGCATATAGATTGAACTGCTATGGAGATAGAATAAAACCCTGACAAACTCCTTTTTTAATTTCAAACCATGCAGTCCTCCCCTGCTCTATTTGCCCAACAGCCTCCTGGTCTAGGTATAGGTTCTTCATGAGCACAATCAAGTGCTCTGGGACTTCCACTCTTCTCAGAGTCAGCCATAACTTGTCATGATCCACACAGTCAAATGCGTTTGCATAGTCAATAAAGCACAAATAGACATTCTTCTGGTATTTCTTACTTTCAGCCAGGATCCATCTCACATCAACAATATCCCTGGTGTGATGGCCTCTTGTAAATCCCATTTGAACTTCTGGAAGTTCTCTATCTATGTAGTGTTCCTTGGAGAAGGACATGATGTTGGGAAGGGTGGAGGGTTGGTGAAGAAGATGAAGATTCTTACCCAGGTAGATTGACAAGGTGACTGCTGTAGTGGGCTCTAGTGTGTTAGGAAGTGTAAGGAAGACACAGGACAGGGTTGCTGTGACTCGACGGCACCTAACAACAACAACATGTAAGATAATGTCTTGCCATACTCACTTATAAGGTACATTGTGAGTGTACTTCTTCCAAAAAAAAATTGTTTTTCCGATACCTCATCATGTGGTCAATATTCTTCATCAATGCTGTGATTCAAATGCGTAAGTTCTTCTTCAGTCTTCTTTTTTTATTATCTAGCTTTCACATGCATGTGGGATGATGAAACTTGGGACAGGGCTCTTTTAGCCCTCAAATTGACATCTTTGCTTTTTAACTCTTTAAGGAGGTATTTTGGGGCATATTGGCCCAATGCAATACGTCATTTTTCTTTTTCCTTGACTGCTGCTTCCATGGGTATTGACTAGATCCAAGTAAAAGGACATCCTTGACATTATATAAGTAAGCAAAGGAATATTAAAAAGGAAAGAATGAAAGACAACCAGTATGAAATCTTGCTTTGGAAAATAGAATATAGTAATGCAAATAGAAGAAAGGATGAAGGAAAAGAGCTGAGCAGAGAATGTCAAAAGGAACCTCTAGAAAACAGTATTATAATAAAATGTGCAAAGAACTTGGAAATTGAAAGCCAAAAAGGACAAACATGCTTAGTTTTATTCAAGCTGAAATGAATGACAAAAAAATTCAAGTTTTAAACTACAATAATGAAAAAATTAAACTATGCTGGAAGCATCAAAAGAGGGTGGGAGGAATACAGAGTCTCTGAGCTAAAAAGAATTGATTTAGGTTCAGCTAATTCAGGATGTAGCATATGATTAAGAACAAATGATATTGAAGGAAAAATTCCAAGTTGCACTGAAGACATAGGCAAAAAACTAGGTTCCAGGAATTTAATGAAAATAAAAAGTACGTATGGAATTTAGGCATATTTCTATATGTATGTTGAAGTGTAATGTAGTATATTAGTATTGCAAGCTCAAAAAAAGATATATTGAATATAATGTTATTATTATTCAATTTTTTTCATCTCAGTCTTTTTAAAAAAATTTTTATTTTATACAGATATATTTGCAAAGTTTGAATACACTGTGTGTTTTTCACACAATATCCTTCCAATTTCCTTCACCCTCCCTATTTAATTGTGCAACCCTATGATTAAAACCCCTCCCCGCTCCCCCTCCGACCCTCATACTCATTCTTCAATAATAATTTTATACAATATTTGTCCTTGTGAGACTAACTTAGTTCACTCAGCATAATGTTCTCCATTCTCTCTCAGGTTAAGTAGTAATTAAAAAATCATTGTTCCTGCATAAGTTGCTGTTGCATAGTATTCCATTGTATCAATGTACCACTTTAATTTTTTTGTCTGATTTCTGTAAATAAATTTAGATCTAATTTTAAGATCTAGTCTTCGGATATTAAGACCTCCTTAACCTCTCTACCCAAAGATTAATTACCAACTTGTCATTTTATGCCTTAGTATTATTAGTTATTATTAGTTGATGTTATCATCTTAATTTTACCACTTACTAGATATCTGACCTTGGACAAGCTCTCATGCTTTCTTTGCCTTAGCTTCTTTGTTTGTAAAACAAAGGGTTTAAAAAGGTCTCACCTATTTTATAAGGTTTTGAAGATTGAAAGTACTGCATGTAAGATGCTTAGGAATACCTGGCACACAGAAAGTGTTCAATAAGTGTTGTTAGAAACTGAAACCATATCCCTCTTGTCTTTACTCTCTAATTTGATTTGTTAGCTTTTGATATTATCCATTTGCAAAATACATTTTTCCAGTAATATAACATAAAAGGCATTAAATAAATACATCTTGTAATATTTGTCCTTTTGTGACTGGGATATTTCACTCAGCACAATGCTCTCCAGAGTCAACCATTTTGAATAATATTGCATGAGTTCCTTGTTTTCCAATGCAGCATAGTATTCCATTGTGCGAACATACCACAGCTTCTCTAGCCATTCGTTTGTTGATGGGCACTTAGGTTGCTTCCAACTCCTTGCTATTGTGAACAAAGCTGCAACGAACATGGGCGTGCATATATCTGCTTGGATGTCAGCTATGGTCTCTTCAGGGTATATTCCCAGTAGTGGAATTGCTGGGTCAAA